TTGGCAATTGTCTCTCTCCATGGTTCCTGCAGCTCCTTCAGGCCCTGCAAGGCCACCCTGAGCTCAGCCCAAAGCTTCTCCTCTCCAGGCTGAACAATCCCAGCTGTGCCAGCCTTTCCTCCCAGCAGAGCTGCTCCATCCCTCTGCTCATCCTGCTGCCTCCTCTGGGCTCTCTCCTACGTGCCCACATCTGGGGCACCCCAAATGTAAAGGAAGAAATCCCACAGGAACAGAAATATGGGATCCAGGAGCCAGCACAGGACATAGCTGTGCTCTCTTGGGGACTGTGGATAATTGGTGCAGGGTTTTCCTGCAGGAATTCACAATCCACAGCCATTTCCTGCCACGTTCTCTCCTCTCCCTGACATTAAACCATCCATGCTGATGTCACCTCTGCACTCCCCCACGATTCCATCCTGCCCACTCCACACAAATCCCTACAACATCTGGAACTGGTGCTCCACAAACACTCACAGGGGGCTGGTCTGACACAGGGAAGCAAAACTGTTCAAGGTTTGGAGTTTTTTTAGATTCCTGTTTCGAGGGAAGGAGAAGGGAAGAGGAGGAACTGCTGCCATCACCTGGGAAAATGAGAACCAAGCAGTTTTCTCCTTGCTGCAAGCTCAAGGGATTCTTCCCCCTGGCCTTGCTGCAATGGAAATCCAAGCCCTTTGCATTCTGTTTTAAGGAATACTCCAGAATAAAAAGTTTGTCAAGCCATTAAAATCAGAGAAACACAGAATATCCTGAGCTGGAAGGACACACAAGGATCAATCACCCAGTCCAACCTCGGGCATCTCTGTGAGCATCACCTAAAAATATGTGATTGCATGTGAAAAAGAGAACAAAAACCAAGAAACCCCAAGAAACTCTGAAGTGGAAGATAATAAAAGAATGGGTTGAATTCCATTGATCTGACTGGTTTTTTGTGATTAACAAGCAGGGGCTCAGAAACCTGCCAGGGACAGAGCATGACCTTGGCCCCAGGCAATGGAGGCTCCCCAGGGAGCTGCCAAAATTTGGGAGCCCTGGCCAGGAGCTGAGGTGCTGGGGTGGGACTGGCAGGGCAGGAGCTGATTGGGAAGGAAATGGTTCTGCAACAGCCCCCTCTGTTTTTAAACACTGAATATCTTCATGAGATCCTGAACCAGGAGTACTGGAGCAGAGGAAATGAATATTGAATACCTGTATGAATCCTGAATATCTGTATCCAATATCCAAATGGTATTGATATCTAAGTGAATATTGAATATCTGTATGAATATTGAATATCTATATCCAATATCCAAATGCTACTGATATCTAAATAAATATTGAATGTCTCTATGAATATTGAATATCTATATGGATATTGAATATATATATTTCTAATATCTATATGAAGATTTAATAATTAATATAAAATATCTATATGAAGATTGAATATCTATATCTAATATATGTATATAGAATATTTATATTTCATATCTATATGAATTCTGAACACCTACATGAATATTGAATACCTGTCTCTAATAGCTAAGTTAATATTGAATACCTACACAAATACAGAATATCCCAATGCCCACCTTGCCCAGAGCCCTGTGAGGAAGTAATTAAATAATTAACAACCTGCCAGAGTTACCTGTTACCTCCATGCCTTTGTCAGAGTCTGCTGGGTATCCTGGGCTGGCCATGACCACACACACAGCAGTTCTGTTCTCTGACCAGGCTGGCATGCAGCTGCAGAGTTTGCCATCAATTGCTGCTTGAATCACTTCAT